TGTCCACAGTTTATTTCATTATCAATTGCGAATAGAATTAAAAAGGCAGTGGCACTCAAACTATGTAAAATTTGTTTGAGACGGCATAGTGAAAGATGTACAGCGCGTTATTGTTTAAAGTGTTCAAAACCACACAATGTATTGCTGCATTTAAGTATAACTCTAAATCAAAAAATAANTGCTGCATTTAAGTATAACTCTAAATCAAAAAATAAAAGTAGATAATAATACTAAAAACGATAATTCAACGTATCAACGAGCGCTATTGCAGCTGCTCAATTACACGAACAAGTGTTGTTGTCAACAGTAGAAGCTTATGCAGGTAATGTTAAAGGTGGAAAAGAAAAATGTAGAATTTTGTTGGGTTCTGGTTCACAGTGTAACTTTATAAGTGAATATATGGTACAATTATTAAGGTTGCGTAAATCGCGAGTACACCACAGTGTCATTGGCATAGGAGGTACTAAAAAAAATATTACTTCAGCGGTTACAGTAGTAATTACATCGCGCATTAGTTTATTCAAAATAGAAGTACAATGTTTGGTTGTTCCTAAGATAACAGGATTTATTCCGTCGAATAATATAAAAAGTAAATGTTTTATTCCGGAAGGTATTCAATTAGCGGATCCGTCTTTCACAGTACCGCAAAAAATAGACTTATTACTCGGAGCAGGTCACTTTTTTGATGTTTTATGCGCGGGTAAAATTAAACCGTCCGAGGACGGACCAATATTTCAACAAACGCAGTTTGGTTGGGTAATTGCAGGAGTAGTAAATCCGGGCTGTAGTCAAGCGTATCATTCTATTAGTTATTCGGCAGTGATTGATCACGAAAATCAATTAGAAAATATGTTATCTAAATTTTGGTGTTTGGAAGAAGTAGGAACAGCCGCGCCTCTAACGTTAGAAGATAAAAAATGTAAAGAGTTTTTCAAAAATACGGTTAAGCGAGACGATGTCGGTAGATTTATGGTTTATTTACCTTTTAAAGAAGGGGAAAATTATAAATTAGGCGAATCATACGAGATAGCAAAAAAGAGATATTTTAATATGGAAAGAAAGTTGCAAAAAGACGAAAAGTTAAAAGAGGAATATAGTAAATTTATGAAAGAATACGAAATATTGGGTCATATGCAGAAAATTAGTGAAAAGAAACCCATAGTTGGGGAACATATATGTTACTTACCGCACCACACTGTATATAATTATAATAGCACAACAACACGACTTTGTGTGGTATTCGATGAGTCGTGTAAAACGTCATCTGGTAAGTCACTGAATGACGTACTATTAAAAGGTCCCGTCTTACAAGACGATATGATTTTTATTTTAATACGTTTTAGAAAACATAGAGTTGCTTTAACTGCAGATATAAAAAAAATGTATCGACAAATTAATTTAACTTCTGAACATTGTGATTATCAAAGAATATTGTGGAGAGAAAATCCAACAATGCCCATAGGAACTTATAAATTAACAACAGTCACATATGGTATGAGTCCTTCGTCGTTTTTAGCAACTGCTTGTTTACGTACTTTAGCTAGTCAGGAAGAAAATTATTATCCATCAGCTTGTTCTGAAATAAAAAATAATTTTTACATGGACGACTATTTAGGAGGCACAGACACTATCGAATCAGCTGTTCAGTTACGCGACGATCTTATCTGTATATTTCAACGAGCCGGTATGTCGCTGTGTAAGTGGTTATCTAATAAAAACACAGTTGTAGACGACATGGTTGAAAATAAAAATAACGAACGTGCATTTGAATCAACGATAACAAAAATACTTGGTCTAACGTGGGACCCCGCTAATGATATGTTTATATTTAAAATAAATTTAAACATTTACCCGGAAAGTGATTTAACTAAAAGGAAAATATTATCTGAGGTAGCCAGTATTTATGACCCGCTTGGTCTTTTAGGACCTGTAATAATAAGAGCAAAACTCTTCATTCAAAGTTTATGGAACATAAAATTAGCGTGGGATGAAGTATTAACTAATAATATAAGTGAAAACTGATTAAATTATCGCGAGAGCTTGTTAACTTTGAATAATTTAAAAGTGCCACGAAAAATAACGTGTGAAAAAGATATTTCGTCAATAGAAATACACGGTTTTTCGGACGCATCAGAAAAGGCATATGGTGGATGTATATACTTACGATGCACCGATATAGATGGTAAACATAGTTTAAGGCTTATTTGTGGGAAATCAAAAGTAGCTCCATTAAAAGTAATTTCTATACCCAGATTAGAACTATGCGCAGCGTTATTACTCGCACGGTTATCTTATAATGTTATGGAAAAGTTAAAATTAAATATTATAAAAAAGTACTTTTGGACGAACTCAAATATAGTTTTGGCGTGGATATCTTCTCCATCCACAAATTGGAAGACATTCGTTGCTCACCGAGTTGGTGAAATTCAGAATTTATCTTGTCCATCAGAATGGGCTCATGTACGGTCTCAGGATAATCCAGCCGACTTACTTTCTAGAGGATGTGAAGCGAAGTTGTTGAATGAGATGCAGTTATGGTGGCAAGGACCGTCTTGGTTGAGTAAGGATAAAACGGAATGGCCAAGTCAAAATAATGGAGTATTAGAAATTTCAAGCGATATGTTGGAAAGAAAAAGTACAACTAAATTTATTGGTAATGTAATAGAAGAAGCTAATTTGTTAGACAAATTTTCATCTTTAAATAAAATTTTACGTATTATGGCTTATTGTTTAAGATTTATAGATATTAGAGTACATAAAAAATTGTTTAAAACAAGTGTTATAAATGCAGATGAATTAAATAGGGCAAATATTAATTTAATACGTATTGTGCAAAATAATTATTTTGCCAAAGAAATTAGTTGTTTGATAAACGGTAAAGAGGTGTCAAAGAAAAGTAAATTGTTACGATTAAGACCGTTTTTAGACGATAAACATTTAATTAGAGTTGGTGGTAGACTGAAAAATGCATTGTCTATTGATGAATGTCAACGTCATCCTATAGTGTTACCTGGTGATAAGTGTAAATACACGCGTTAATATTTCTACGCGAACATGAACGTTTAATGCACGGCGGCCCGCAGGCAATGTTATCTACGATTAGATTAAATTATTGACCATTGAACGCACGTAAGACAGCAAAAGGGGTTTTGCATCATTGTAATAAATGTTTCCGACATAGATCGGTTGTAGTACAACCCATTATGGGCGATCTACCTAGTAGTCGTTTTGAGCAGGGAAGAACCTTTTTAATAAGTGGTTGTTATTTTGCCGGTCCGCTGATGATAAAGGACAGTCTTAGAAAAAGGACATGTATATTAAAATGTTACGCTTGTATATTTATTTGTTTTTCAACAAAAGCAGTTCATATTGAATTAGTGTCTGACTTAAGCACAAAGTCTTTTTTAAATGCATTAGATAGATTTTTTAATAGACGCGGGATTGCAAAAATCTTATACAGCAATAATGCTAAAAATTTCGTAGGAGCTAATAAATATTTAAAAGAAGTTTACGATTTATTTCAATCTGAAGAGCACAAAAATCAGCTGATTTAGCATGTTGCGGAAAAAGGCGTGGAATGGCGATTTATTCCTGCGCGCTCGCCTCATTTTGGGGGTTTGTGGGAGTCTGCTGTGAAGTCAATGAAAACTTTAATTTTTAAGGTGTTAGGGGAGACATTTTTAACATAAGAGGAATTAAATACTATTTTAATAAGAGCAGAAGCTTGCTTAAATTCTCGACCATTGGCTACTCTTTCCCCGGATCCTTTACTCCTCACACCAGCACATTTTTTAATTGGAGAGTCGCTTATGTCCGTGCTAGAAGCGGACAAAACCGTTATTCAAACCAATCGGTTAGATCGATGGCGTCGTGTGCGACATTTTTCCCAAATGTTATGGAAGAGATGGAGACACGAATATTTAGCCCAATTACAGGAAAGGGTGAAGTGGTCAACTGCCAAGGGTCCTAATATTAACGTTGGCACTATAGTTATGTTACGCGATGAAAATGTAGCGTCATTGAATTGGAAGTTGGGTCGCGTACAGCATGGTAAAGATGGTGTTGTACGTTCTGCGACAATTAAGACTACAAACGGTGAAACTAATAGAGCGGTACGACAATTATGTCCGTTACCTTTTGAGGGCAATCAAACAATGAATTAAATTGCTTCAATGATTCATACTGTTAAAATTAAACATTTTTTGATTATTTATTTGTTAATTTATTTATATTTATTTTGTGTAGATAAATTATGAGAGTCCAATTGTGTGGTTTTTCGATGGATATTGTCGATTATTAATTGTTAAATCTATTTCATAAGTTTTATTCCTTTGGTTTATTTGTAGTATTTTGTAGTATTTTATAATATTTTGTTTTTTTTTTGTTTATTTGATTTGTTTAATAATCTTTAATTTAAAACAGTGTTTTAAGGCGCCCGTTCTATTAAGTCCGACTATCGTTATCAACATGTACGTGGACGGTCGTTGACCACCACTTTTAATTAAGTCAGTCGGCGACGTGCCTTCTTAGCATAGAATTGTAATTTAAACGAATAAAAATTGATATATTAACGTTCATAGTGTTACTTAAAATTTAAATATAATAAAACCCCAAAAATCTGTTCAACCAAAAAAAGACATACAGTCCACAACAACCATTATCATGGTTCAGTGGACAAAGTACAGCAAAGGTGGAAAAGTGCCAGGGACCAGCTCAATAGCATAAAAATGTATAAAATATTACTTTTAAAAATTTTTATTTGTATGTTTATACTAAGAACAATTTTAATAAATGTTAATCATAAAAAAAATGTTATTTTTTAGTAAAAATAATTCTGTCGCAAAAACTTTTTACCAAAAGAATTAAAATCATAGACCATTACTATTAGTACTAAGAAGACATTTAACTTAAACTTATTGAGCACATTACTTTTATTGACTTAATGAATCATTCTATCTTGCCATTCTACTTTACCAGCTTCGCTTATAAAGTAATTGGCAAACTGGTCCCTTAATATATTACCTGATCTATTATAAACATCAATTGAGTCATTGAGACTTTCAAAACCATTAATACTTAATGTGTCTTCAAATCTAAATCCATCTCTATTCCTGACAAAATAATGCAATATATAACAAGCTTTAACAATTTTTATAGTAAGTTCTACACTTTTGTTCATCGTTCTATGGAAAATTCGCCATTTGTTAGAAAGTATTCCAAAAGTTGATTCTATATATCTTCTTGCTCGAGACAAGTGATAATTGAATACTTTTTTTTTGTAATTCAAATTGCTTTGTGCATATGGTCTAAGTATGCTTTAAAATACACCAAAAGCTTCATCAGCAACTATTACAAACGGTAATGGATTTCATTGGCCGGGTAAGGGTTTCGGTGCTTTTTGTAAAATTTTGTTTTTTTAAAAACTGTTGAATCACAACACTTTCCTTGAGCTCCCACATCAATAAAAGTAAAACAATAATTTGCATCACAAATAGCCATAAGAACTATTGAATAGTAATGTTTGTAATTATAAAAATCTGATCCAATCTGGATTGGTTTAATTAAACGAATATGTTTTCCGTCCAAAGCGCCGATGCAATTTACAAAGTTAGCATCGTTTTCAAAACCCAAAGCAAATTCTTTACATTTTTGCTGATCCGGCAAAGGCATAATTTAAGATTTAAGTCCCCATAATTCGCTGCATACATCTTCTACTATATTACTAATAGTAGATATTCCCATTCTATAGGAGTAATGAAGGTCTGTGAATGAATTATCCGATTTTAAGTATCTATAAATACGAGCTAATTAAAATATTACGTCAGTATTTATTCAAAAAACGTTAGTATGATTTCTGAGTAATTACAAATACTGTTAGATTTTACCCACCTAATATCGTGTTTTAATAATAAAAATTTCAAAATGTGAATTGTCAATTTAATTAATTTTTTTTATATAAAAAAAATTACTTTTATTAAACCCTTTAATATTTTCCTATAGAAAAAACATCAATTCCCCGTCATTTTATTGATAATTATTATGTAGTTATTATAAAATTAGCTCCTTAAATAATTTATTTTGAGTAATATGTATTACTTACCTTAATGTTATGCACAGCCTTTCTGTCGAAGAAATAGGTACGCGAAAGTTACTATTTACTACGGTTAGCCCCTTTTCTAACTTTGAAAATAATTCATAAAAAAATTTTAACGACATTCTGAAATAATTAAAACATTTCTCATCGTGGACTCTTAATTCAGAAAAAAGGATTGCAAAAGCGCCATTAAGAGGTCCTTGAACCAGCATCGGGTGAACCCAAAATCGCCTATTTTTTTTTATTTTTGAAGTATTCTTTTTTAAAATGTGCCTGTAGGCCGCAAAAGCCAACATAGATCTTATCTGTTGGACATTCATTTTGAAAATAAAGAGAAATCGCTATAGCAAAAACGCAGAATAGTGTGAAACAAAAAAAAAATACGCTGCGGGTACAAAAATATACGCGCTAGTGTGAAACGGGCCTTAAACGACAATACTTAAGGCGGTTTATACAAGATAAACTGCTCTAACTTTATTTTTATAAAACAAAATTTTCCCAGGGACCAGGCTAACAATCTAATCCCGCTAACATGTAACTGTGAATAACCCAGGTAAAAATTCACTGCTGTCACCAGTGAAATCCGTTCAAATAACTATATGAACTATCAAATTTGTGAGGGAGACTTCACCGTTAAAACTAAAATCTATTATAATTATGAATAAAACTGAATCGGCTCAAAGCCTCTTACCTTAACTTCTCTCGGCCGGTTGAGATTCCTCTTCGGTGAGCCAGTTAACGCGTATCCAAATGGTACGGCACTCAAGGTATATATATATATATATAATATATTTATGTCTATGTGTATATATATTTACACAAGCACAACAGTAAAAACAAAGAAACAACGTCAGAAGACAATAGTTGTTACTTATAATATTAGATATTTTCCTTTTCGAACAATGTTATACGTATGTAACAATGGGCAACTACCCTTTTGTCATCGGTAATATCAGTAATGAGCACACTCGCCACAATCCAAAAAAAAAAAAAAACGGAAAAACAATGAAACACAAACAGCACACAAGAAAAAGGCAAACCAGTTAAGGTCAATATCGCGAGAGACAGTGATGAGCGCCAGCCTAGAGCGACGGGCGGTGCCGTGTCAATGTAAAATATATATTTAATATTTTATAAACAAATATTGTTCATACTCTTTGTAATTATCATATTAACTGATTAGAAAGTTTATAATAAAAATAACTGATATGTATTAAAATAATATTTTTCAGATATTTTTGATTTAGACATAGTGTTTATATTAATCAATTAATTTGATGGCGTTTAATAAAATGAATAATAGATTTGATTATATTAGTGTATTGTTTATCCATAATCTACAAATTACTTACACACATGATGTCTTAAGAATAATCTTACTTCAATTTTTTGTTTGTACATGTTTCTAAAACAAATCTGTACATATATTTAATATATCCATTCTCATCTGCAAAGGAAATAACATCTCCATGATTTAAAACTTGATATTCATTTTGGTTATTGGGAATTCGCACACAATTTACATAAGTTTCATTATCTGTTCCCTGTAGTACAGATATTGTTGATCAACTTAGAATTAATTATTCTCTTTGATAGCTTAATTAATATAAACATGCAATAAAAATTTTAAGTCTTACATTGTGAGAAATAACATATCGGCCATTGGATTTATTTATAAAACAATGCCGTCTTGAAATAGATTCTTCTTCAATTACAATGGAACAGGTACGAGAACTTCCAATAACAAACTGAAGAGTTATAATACATCAATTTAACCATTTTAAAGAAAAATAAAGTATATTGTAAAATATAAAACAAAGTTAAGATGGCTTAAAGTTAATATAAATATTATTTTCATATAAAAATATATGTATTTTTAATAAGTTCATCTTAACACTTAAATTGATTTTATTTCCTAAAGAAAAAATCTACCTCAGTCTCTCCAATAGGATAGTAAGTGCCACTAGCCAAGTTCTGTAATGTCGNGGTGCCACTAGCCAAGTTTTGTAATGTCGCATTACTAGTTAAGTCAGCACAACTATTACTTCTTTTTAAGCTCATTGTGTTTTTTATCTCTTTTAAAATTTATGGTATTCAATTTAAAATCTATCATATAAATACACTTTAAAGTAATGAAAGTATTTGTTTTGAATTAAAAACATTCGAAACTATGGTAGCAGATAGTTAATTACATACTAATAATACAAAATAGAACAATTTTAAAAAAATTTTAGAAAATAATAATGTTAAACAAATAAATAACTGGAGTCAATTTTGATAAGCACTATGTCAAAAGATCACAAATCGTATCTAGTCGAAGACATTACCCTCAAAAATTAAAAAAAATTCCCTCGTTCCCCGTAAATGGGGGAAATCACCCAAAAAATTACAAATTTAAAAAATGCTAATTTTCGACATTTCTTCAATTTTTTTAAATTAAAATTGCCAAAACTTATTTTAAAATGACCCAATTAATATAAAAAATTTTTTTTATAGATACCTTAGATATTTACCTATCATTTTATATATTTTTGTGAACATTTGACCCTTTAACAGCCCACAGAAATGGTTTCAAAATGATATCTTTTTTACAAAAAATTGACTCTTTCAACTTGACTTTTGAAAATGTTCCGGAAAGACTGACACTTTTATATATATCTTAACTTAAAACTTCTGTAATATACTTTAATTTAAAAAAAAAAAATTGGCCTCTGGATTTGTCTGCATAGTGAAAATGACTACCCTATTCAAAAATATGATATTTTTGTGTTAAAATTCTGGGTTTTGTATTTTATTTTAATTTAAAATACCTGACAAGGGGAGTACACTGATTTTCATAAATATTACATAAATTAAATTGATATAGCATAGAAAGTTAAACTTATTTACAGTTTTTTGAAGTCTAGAAAATTAACTTTGAAATTTGTACTAGCTTAAATAGCTAATTTTTTTATTCCGACGGTAGCAACGTACAGTTGCCGAGTTGGTAAAACTTGTACTTTACACGCTTGGGGTACAGGGTTGTTCCATCTCGCGTATGGCAAAAAAATTTTTTGCATTTTTTCTTAATTCTTTTTTAGTTAGAATAAATTTTCAACTCGTTTGATTTTTATCTCATGTAAATTCAATAACTTCAATCAAGATCAAGGGATCCCATCACTTTAGTCACCCCATCCGAGAAGAAATTTTTTAGTCATATTAAAACTATTTTACTATATTTTAGATTTTAGCTTTAATGCATAGTTGAGAAGGTATTTTTTTGTAACTATTATTTATTTTCTCTGCTCTAACTTGACCTATATTTTTCAATGATTCGTCAAATGATTACAATTAGTTACCCTCAAAAATTGAAAAAGAAATTCTAATTTATCAATGAAACAGTTACTTATCCCATGTTCTCCATACAGACAATTAAAATCATTCATTTCTAATGTTTTCAGAGTATTTATTGACGAATCTAGTTTGATATGATAATTTTATATGATAGGTTTCAACTACATAATTAAATCATTTTACTTTGTAATTTAATAATTTTTTTACTCTATTTCTGTGTTCTACTACTAGACTATATAATTTTTTGGTAACATGTAGCTATATAAATCATTTCTAAAAAAAATGATTGTTAGTTTCTCCTAATTTAATAATGGATTTTTACAATTATAATCAAATTTTATAGTACGCTATTGAGTAGATCTTTTTAACCACTTTTTTAGCTTTGATGCGAAACTGAGAAGATATTAATTTTACTATGATGTGTTTATTTATTATTATTTTTTTTTTGTGTCTGTTACCACTTTTTCTCAGCTCTCACTGGACCGATTTCTTTCAACAATTGATCAAAAGATCAAAAATCGTATCTAGTTGAAGACATTACCCTTCAAAATTGAAAAATTTTCCCTCGTGCCCTGCAAATGGGGAAAATATCAAAAAAAAATTACAAATTTAAAAATCGGTAAATTTTGTCATTTTTTTCACTTTCTTTTCTTAAATCTTCCATAACTTCTTCAAAAATAAACGAATCAACATAATTTCTTTTTATACTAAAACCTTAGATATTTCATTTTTATTTGATATTATTTTTTTGAAAATCTAACACTTAACCTGCTCAATGGGGGGGATTTAAAATAGCAACTTTTTTACAAAAACTAACTTTTTCAACTCAATTTTTGAAAATGTTCCGAAACTACTGCGTCCTTTAATTATATATCAAATTAAAGCTTTTTTTATGAACTATAAAATGAAAAAAAAAATTTGCCGCGACACTTTATCTTCTACATGCAAACGGCTACCGTAGTTAAAAAAACGCTATTTTTGTATTAAAATTTTCGATTTTAAATTTTTAACTTAAAAATACTATAACTTTTCGAAAAATTTATGTAACAGCACAAATTTTTTTTCTAAATACATTATAAGTACATCTTTTATTTGACATACTTTTTATTAAAATTGGACATTTCCCCTTATATAGAGGTCGTTCAAAACTTGAATCATTGTTTAAAAAATATAAATTTTTCAACTTAACTTTTGAAAATGTTCCGGAAATACTGCGTCCTTTAAACATATATCAAATCAAAGGTTATGTTTTATACTATAAAATAAAATAATAAATTTGTCCCGACACCTTAAAAAAATGTAATGTTTGTGATAAAAATTTCTATCGGGATGTTTTTTATACTTAAAACTGCCATAACATTATCAAATATTAACAAATCAAAATAATATTTTTTTATATTGAAACCTTAGGTAATTTCCTTTTATTTGATATCATAAAAAAGTAGATTTAATCTATGGTGGACCTAACTATGCAACGTCCCAACTATGCCGCGACCCCACTGTGATGGATTTTTTTACACGTTTTCAAAACTTCAAGAAAGGTTTTCTTAACTTTGATGAAGAAAACTAATAAAAATATGTATAAGTGTATATTTAATGTAGATTAGTTAGATTCTATTGTTGAAATAATTAAAATTTTTATGCAGAAGTTGATATTTAAAATACCCCCTAATTAGCAAGTCATTTTTTAAAAAGTGAAATTAAGTTCCTTGGATATATAATTACCCCGTGTAGACTTTTTATAGATAAAAGTTAATTGGAAGCTGTTAAAAAATACCCATCACCACGTAACAAGAAAAGATTACAATATTTTATTGGTTTTTTTATCACAAGTTTTTAGACCTGTTTTCAAATATACTGATGAGCATCGTAATCAATTCGAACGTGTACAATTATTTTTTTTGGATATTATTGTAGTGCATCAAGATTTTGTTTTAAATTAATTCATTGAAAAGGTTTATTTGTTTTAAATTTTATAGTTATTAAATTATGTTTTACTCTTGTTTCTAGATGGTGGCTAGCTTAACAAAAGGCAAGGAAAGTATGAGTGCTTTAAATGTTATTTTGGTGATGATTGGTAATAGACGTAGTATGGGAGTTGATTCTTTTGGGAAAGAACGTGTTTGTGGTACCTGTGCAGAAAATAATGCTTCTAAAAAATGTGCCAAATGTAAAGCTGTGCAATATTGTGACCGTGAGTTCAGCGCATTCATTAGTTTGTACACAAAAAGGAATGTAATCGTGAAGCTAATAGTGGAAATAATCAAACAATGGTTGATAGTGCACATGTAGCAGAGAGTTTATCAGCATTGGGCGTTAAATGAAACTTTTTACAAATACGATATTTTAATTGATGATGTTGTATTTATATATGGAACAATATTTTTGTTCTAACTTATAGTTTTAGTAGTTCAATAATAACGCAAAATGTAGTTAATAAAGGATTATATCTTTATTAACTACATTTCAAAATAAAACATAAAATATTGATACAATTAAAACCGGATAAATAAATAATACACAAAATAAAAACTTAATGTCACAAACATACCACATGGAAAGAGATTACCTTCGGTACTCCCGTGGTCTTCTCTTTCTTCCCCTTTTCAATTCATTCCATTTCATCTTATATACTAAAATATTTTGTTTGTCTTTTTATAAAATTCATATAGTAATCATTTTCAAAAAGGTTTATAAATATTTACTTCTTGGTCTAGTAACATTAATTTGAGGAATTACAATTAATCTAAACATTACATAAGTGTTCTACTTCTAGGTTTACAAATAATAGACTATATTATATTTTTGTAATAATAGATCAAGAAATTCATAGTTAAACCAAACATTACAAAAATGCTTTGTTTTCAGTTTTACAAAATAATGACCTATATTACATTCCCTTATGTTGAAGTAAAAAATATGTCCTCATATTTTAAATTAGTAAATTTCTGCAATAAAGGATAAAAAGGAGGGAAAAAGAAAAAAAAAATTGGAATTTTGTGTAGTGAAAGTTAAATATCTTTAAGACAGTGAACTGAACTTTTTGTTTTTACATTTAATAGAGTATCTTATTTGTTATTAATAAACACGTTAATTTCTGTACATGTTATTTTATTATTAACATCCATGTATATCGATTATTTGTAATCGATTTATTTATTTATTTATTTTTTTTAACTTTTTATTGTTTTTTTTATAGGATAGGAAATTATTGGAATGAATTATGAAAATTTACTTGTTGTTTTATTACTATCATTATAATAATAATTTGAAATTCAAAGTTATTTTATTATTATTGTCATGTATATGCAAGTATATATTTTTCTAAATTAATCTAAAAGAGTACAGGATTAAGTCAAATATACAATAATATTGAAAATATTTAGCAGTTTAATTTTGATAAATGAAGTGTAGAGTTGGTTTTATGACATTCATTTTATTATTATTCTTTCCTTGTGTGGTTTCCATTTCCGCTTAGTCGAGTCTCTTTCCAAACGTGGTTTTTNTGTGGTTTCCATTTCCGCTTAGTCGAGTCTCTTTCCAATCGTGGTTTTTTTTTTACTGGAAGATGGAATACTCTATTTAGTTTGCCATCTTTGGAGCCATCTTCATTAAATGGATTTTCGCTTTGTGTAGGTTTTTATACTATTAATTTGTGGTTAGTTATTTAGTGTATTAATAGAATTGTAAATATTTAAAAGAGAAAGGAAAAGACAAAAGAGAGAAAAAAAAACTAACAATATAACAGTAGTAAGAAATTATGTTTGATATTTAGGAGGTATTGGAGGTGGTAAACCCATGACGTCTACTTTTATAAACATTGGATAAATTGATGAATTTGTAAATTGAGAAAGCCATGACCAAAGTTAATAATGACAGCCAAGAGATATAAATAATATCTCCTAAAAAATTGTCTATAAGTGGAATAGAAAAAGATTTTAACATAATATCTTTAAAATATTCATCAGAGTTAATTTGTTTGGTTATATGAAAGTTTGGCACCACCGAGGTCCAATTTTTATTAAGGATTTCTGAAATATTGTTAAAATAAAATTTTTCTATTGCTTCAGGGTCATCACGTTTAATTTTTAGTGATTTAATATTGGTCCTAGAAATAGGCAATATTCTTAATATTTTTAGAGTATTTTTGTTAATTTTTTCACAAGGGTACATTTTAGGGATTAAAATATTATTATTTCTTATTCATTCTTGTTCACAAGACAATGTTATCTTAATTAAACCCGGGTAATCATAGTTTATATCTAATTCTGTTTCAGTATAATTGTGGTCATTAAAAGTTCTGACTTTCAGATTAGGTTGAGGATTAGTTATAACAAAACTATTTACTCCTATTTGTTTGATAATAATATAATCATTTTCTATGTGTTTAATACATTTAAAATAACAGACTTGATTGATTTGTTCTAATGGTAAATTTTTGTAAATCGCCTCCACACATCTTGGTGAGAGTATTTGTCAGCGGAAAATTTTGGAATACAACATAAATCAGTAACCGGAGGATCGCAGTGTTGTAACCCGACACCAGAAACAACTCTATGTTCATCGTTAAACTTATTAACTGCAATGTAAGTTCTTTCTGAAAAGATTAGACAAATGGAATCATGGAATTTGAAATGAGCGGGTATATATTGAAAAAGTTTCCACATTGAATTACTTTCTTTGATGGGAATTTTTATTTTTAGTAATATTTGGGTTTCCGAAAACTGACATTCAGCAATAGATAAATTGTAATAAGAATGTAAATTTTTTATTGGAATAACTAATTCATAACTGTCTTTATTTATTGTTTTCTGTAATTTCAATAAATCTTTGTAAAATATATCAGTAGATAATACTGTTGGTGCAATTTTGTTATTTTTGCAATGTAAATGTGCATTAGACATTCTTTCATAATCAATTAATTTAAAAAAACAGACATTATAGTAAAAAGTATTTCTTGTATGCCCTGAATTGAATTATTTAAGTTATTGTCTTCCAACCTTGCATTATTTCTATTTTCATCATTAATTTTTTGAAACGCCGTTTTTAATAATTCGATCTTAATGTTGGTATTAGAAGTATAATTATTAAGTTGTGAAGTGATATCATTAAGGTCTTTGTGGTCAGAAGTAAAAACATCTTTTAATTTATTAAATTGATCTTTTAAAATTTGTTCATTAGAATAAAAGTTTTTTAGTTGTTTTTCGGTAGCAACATTACAACAAAAATGAAACCCGTTACTCAAAAATTGAATGCCCCTTTTTGATCTATTATTGAAATTGAAATCATTAAGATCCAATTGATTTTCCCACATATTTTTGTTAATATTTTTTAGTATAACTAAAGATTGGTTAATAATATTGCAATAATTAGTATATTTGTTTTTACAATAGCATTCTACAGCTAATGACTCACCCACGTTTGTTTTTTCTTTGTCTAAAATAATCTGAGTATAAGTTAATGGAATACTTTTATCATACATCATTGCCTCTTGTACCTCGTTAAAGAAAGCATCCGAAGATACNGAATACTTTTATCATACATCATTGCCTCTTGTACCTCGTTAAAGAAAGCACCCGAAGATACTGATACCTTAATTTTCTCAATAAATATATTTTGGCAAGTTATAAGTAACAATCCCCAGCAAAACCACATTCTAAAAATTAAATAAAAGAACATCATATTAAGTTAAATTTGGTATTAAAAATTTTTCTCCTAAATTAACTATTGCAAAATTGAATAGACACCTAGTCATGGCTACGTCAACTTCAGGAATATGAGGTAGACCATGCTTTTTATCACATATTATTTTATGTGCCTCTTCTAATTTAAGTAAGTGACCATTTTTTTTAAAATAACCCAAATCAATCCCAAATAATAAATTACCAAGGTTATCCTTAATAGTTAAGGTTAAAAAGCCATTTTTATTTAAGTCTAAAATTCTATTGTTAATACCCAATTTTTTTAAAATAACCTTATCAGTAGAACCACTCTACGTTATTAAAATGACTTTATTATACAAGTGGCCAATCCATTCAATAAAAGTATTAATATAATTATAATTTAAATTTTGTGCATTATTTTTGCCGTACTGATTCTTAATTCTGCAAAAAGTGGAGTTAATTTTTCTTTTTTTTTCCTAAAAATCCATTTCATTCTGTTTTTTTGCCGTACTAATTCTTAATTCTGCAAAAAGTGGAGTTAATTTTTCTTTTTTTTTCCTAAAAATCCATTTCATTCTGTCTTTGAGTGGTTCTACCTGATTGTCTAATAACTTAGTTACATTTTTTCCCAATATTAATGGCGTTTCCTCCAAATGTAAAATTAATTCTAGATCCCGGCTACCGCCAATGGCACCAGAGATTAATACTAAATCAAATTTATTATACATACCAAATTCAAAGTCAATGATTACAAACCTTATTTTATTCCTTTTATACCTAAATAAGCAAAACTTAATAATTAATGAATAATAATTTTTTACAAAGTAATAATAATAACATTTATGCATTTCTTTCATAATAAAGTTTTATCCTCTGAACATGAAAAGTATCAATGGTGTTTTTACCATTTAATATTAGAGCAATTTTATAATTTATGTCGGATAATTTTTCAATAATTTTAAATGGACCGCGATATTTATATGACAATTTTTTTGAAATATTTGGCTCATGAACATTAAATTTGATTAAAAC